ATTAAGAAAACATGAAACGGAGGTGAGCGTTCCCAGGAGTCCCTGACCTTCCAAAATTACTTGGAGCGACATCTAAAGCTCTTCAGGCCTTACCTGGCTCAGTTAAGGTTAAATGTCATGATTCAACAATAACAAAGAGACATGCAAGAGTTTTGTGTTTTGAGACCAAAACTACTGCTGACCAAAATCTTTCTTGTTTACTAAAAATATCTTAATGTTCCCCAAGATTTCAGGAGATTTCAGGAAAAACGTGAGCAGCAGTTTTCAGACAAAGAGGGATCTCTTTGCAACTTTTTAGCTGTAATGACATCTCAGAAAAATAACAGCATATTATCAATGGTGAAACATGGAGGATTTAGGAGTAATTAGCTGCTTCAGGACGTGGACAGCTTGCCAAAACTGATGAGTCCATAAATTCTTCTCTGTGGCTAAAAATCCTGAAGGAGAATACCATCAGTGTGACTTTAAGCTGAAGTGCAACTGGGTTATGCTTAAAATCAGCAAGTCCACCTCTGAACGGCTCAAAAGTAACGAAACAAAGTCCTGATTGGCCTGATCAAAGTCTGGACTTGAACTCAGATAAAAAAAAGTGTCGTTGCATGACCTCAGCAAGGCGGTTCACTCTCAAAAATCCACCAACGTGACCAAATAACGAAAATGATGCAAAGAAGAATGAAGCAACAATCCTCCACTGCAAAAGACTCATCGCCGGTAATCAAACAAGCTTAATGGCAACTATTGCTGCCAGTGCTGACTCAGTCAGTGATGAGCTTAAGTGGACAATTGCTTTTTTCACTTGCAGTAAGACCTGGTTGGCTCGGATCATTTCAGTGAATGATCTCATCATTAGAAAGAACCTTTTGCGTTTACTCGAGCTATCTTGAGTAATTTATTCTCAAATTTATCTTGATATTCAGATTTATTTTAAGATCTGAAACATTTAAATACAATATAAAATATGTGGAGTAATTTTTATTGCATGGTTTCTATAATGACAATAAAAAAATATAATTATTATTACTGTTGTTATTAAAATACCAGATCAAAATATTAAGTAATCTAAGCACAAAAACAATATATATCTGGTGGCATGTTACTGTTAACCTCTCATTTATTTGGAGGTTTTTCTCCACTACATACTAAGTATTTTCCCATCCCTCATGACTCATTTTTTTGACTCCCTGCAGCTTACAAATGTTGTGTGTTATTATATCTTACAGGTGAGTCATTTATTAGCAGTTTTAGTTTAAAGTGTTTGAATCTTTTAGTCATCGCTAACTTAAGGAGAGACAACGTGAAATGATTAATCAGAGCTTTGCCTTTTTCCCGTCGTGTTCCTGTTTTAAAGCAGCAGTCGCTCTGCCGGCAGACTGTAACAGCCCGCTGATGCTTCAGCATTAATAATATAGCGATGCATTATGTAAAAGCACATTAGTGGGATCAAACCCTAAATTTAGCTGCTGTTAGGTTTGCTGTTTCACTTTTCATGGAGGACTTTTGTGTCTCTTCCCCTTCTCCACTGGCTTTGTGCGCTGATCAGCTGTATCGTTATAACTAGAGCTGTAGTGATGCGTGAAAAAGGGGAAGAACTGTTTATTTCAGTCCTGATTTCTCTCCAGCAACCTCTGTGGTAAAGGTTAAAGAGCCCGTGTTGTACCCACGTCACATGCATTTGAACAAAAGTCAGGCCTGCTGCTTTTGCTCTCTGTTGCATGTGTCCGTACGCTCGACGTCAAACAGCAAAGGTCAGGAAAAGATTAATGCCCTAATTACCCACTGACTTGCAGAGTAGCGGCCTTTTATTGGCCAGTAATGCATGCATAAAAATGCATTATTCAGATGAAGACTTTCTCGTCATACATATTTAAAAAAATAAAATAAAATGCAATAACCGCACAGAGACAGAGGAGATTTATATTGAACTCCGAGGAGGTAAAATGCATCAGTGTGCAGAGGAGCCTCTCTAACTGCCTGTATGATACACTCATGCTAGATGATAGACGCAGATAGGTCAGGCTGTTCTCTGTGTCCCGCCTCGGGCGGTGTCGTCCCGGCTCTCTCCTGTGCAGCCATTGTGACAGTCATCATCTGTGGCTCGCCAAATGAAAGGGACAGAGGCAGAGCAGGGACGGGCCAGGCCAGGTCACTGCTGGTTATTTAGGCCATTATATTTGTCAGAGCGAATGTGTGGACTTTTAAAAATAGCTCCGGGTCTAATTGACACTTGGGTTTTATCGTGATGCTTTGAGGGGCGGAGAGAGGGGCAAAGGGGGCGAAGGGGAGGCCCAATGATTATTAGGCTGTTCACTGAACGGAACAGTGGCTTCATGTTGCCAAAGCGGGCCGTTTGGATCTAAAATTTGCTGGCTTTGACTTTTGCTTCATCAGATATCCCTGAGTGGTGGACACAAGGTCACCACTGGCTTGAATGGGGCCATTGTTTGAACACAGCTGCTTCTTTCTGCCAGGAATTAAAAGAATGGGCTTGTAGCTCATGATTACTCTTGTTATAAGCTCTATTTAGGCTTTACAGCTGAAGCGTCTGGATATTTTTGACATTTATTAGACGATAAAGAAGCTGTGTGAGTGCAGCGCTTTACAAAAGTATTAACACCGTTCAAACCTTTTACCACAGTTTACCACAGTCACAGTCACAAGCTTTGATGTTGTTTATTGCGATTTCTTACGGTAGTGCATAATTTTGAAGTGGAAACAAAATTGCGCACGATTTCCAAAAATCGGATGTCACTTAATTAGTGACATCCGAAGCGTTTAAAGTGACCTCAGCAGAAGTCGAGCTGTTGTGTGAAGGCCTCAAAGAGAAACAAAGGGATACAGCAGACGGGTTCAGCTTTGGATACTAAGTTTATAACTTCATATCTTAAGCTTAAAACATCTCACAGAGCGCTGTCCAATCTGATCAGTCATCATAAAGTGGAGAGAGTGTTGCACAAAGGCTAGACCATAAATATCTGGACACCCACTAAACATGGGGTCCAGGTTTGGAGGGCATTCCCTGCATGGGTCTCTGTGGCTCAGTGTGTTGTTGTCTTACTGTCTGAAAGCTGTGGGTTCACTTCCAGGTTCTTCCTGTCGCATGTTAATGTGTCCCTCGGCCAAGCACTTTCAAATTTCCTAGGAATCTGTGTATCGGTGTAATAAATATGTGTGTATTAAGGGAAAGTAGAATTGAATGTGAATTTGGCATGAAGCTCTTTGAGTTGTCAGTATGATTCAAAAAGATCTATGTAGCTTCAGTTTGTTTGCTCTTCAGGTTTTTATTTAAAAAATGTCAGATATTCTGTCCTGCATTGGACTCATGACCTGCTCAAGTTGCACCCGTCTTTCAACCAATGACAGCTGGACTCTGACAAGGAAACAAGCAGGTATAAACAATGGATGGATGGATCATTTTGCTTTCATTTCACAATTACAAATTTAGCTTTGCTGCATTCACATCATAGGGGTTTGTACCTGCAGCTCTAGAGCCGCATGTGGCTCTTTCAAGCTCTTAAGAACCTAAGAAAGAAAGGCTTTCTAGGTATTTTTGTGCAAACCTTTAAAGGTTAATTCTTTTTGAAGAGTCATGTAGGTTTTTTAGGCTTCAGACAAATTAAATTTTTAAAAGAGACTGAGGGTAAAAATGGCTCTTTGGGTGGCCAAGGTTGCTGGAGAGACACAAAAATGACAAAAATGTGAAAAAGCTATTTTGGCGAGGCACAACCAGCGTGTGTGTAGTAAACCACCTTAATGCTCGCTACATAGACACATGAATGTTGTGGCTTCTGTTGTGTAGCTGTTTGTCTCGTCTCCATTCCTGCCTGGTAAAATGATCATGAATCTCAGTCTGCCTTTTTACTCTCCAACTAGATACAGTGATCTGATGCCTTTGCATTACAATACTCGTCTGTTTCTGCTGGTCTCTCTGGTACTTGGTTTCGTGCCCCACAGGAAATGGGCCCATTGTCCCGGGGAGAGGAAGTGGCCTGCAGCAGACCGGTCGCTCACCGGAGTGAGACTGCGGTAAATTATTCACCATCCCTGACAAAGAGAAGACATACACATGCAGCTTGACGGTGGATGTCGACACTGGAACATTTCAAGAACAATGAACAGCAGAGCTGCAGCCGGACACCTGTTTGAGTATAGGAGGACTCTGAGAATAAGAAACAAGAATATCAGCATTAAGCTGTATGTGCGGCACAGTAGCAAAGTGACAGTAACAAAGACGGATGAGTTCAGAGTGCTTATATATATATATATATCCATCCATCCATCCATTTTCTGAACACCCTTGTCCCTCAGTGGGGTCGGGAGGGGTGCTGGTGCTGGTGCCTACATATATATATATATATATATATATATGTATATATACATACATATATATATATATTTACCGTACATATTTTTACCTCCATTACTTTCATTACTTTTCCCATTTTTGTGTGTGACTCTTGTCCAGCCTTGTTTGCCAAAGTTTAACTGCTTTAAACTTTTTATTTATTGCCCTGAAGGAGCAAAGAAGACAAATTTCTGTCATCTTTGGGACCTTATTAAGATCAAAATACAACTAGCTTACATGAATAGCTTGTTTTCTTATGGCGTTGGTGATTTTGTAAAAAAAACAAAAAAAACAAACAATTATTCATTAATGTAGTACGTTTCCACCTCTGAATAAATGTGCTGATTCGATTTAACTTAATGTTTTACAACTTATACAATTTTTGTATAATTTGGGGGGGTGGGTGATATAACTGTGCTGTGAGATGTTTCTGACGCTTTTTATTATTTACTACTCACTATGAAACTATTCATTTTCTAATCTTGTTGTTAGTGTGAATATGAAACTAATAAAACAGCCAATGGCATTCTGTGATATACAACAGGATCACAGCTCTATTTTTTTTTCTGTAAAACATTATTTTGTTTTCGTCGGTGGTTTGCCACTAGAGGGAGACAGAGCCTAATCCTGTGTTTTGTGTTCGTATCCTGAAGTGTTGGCTTTCAAACGGGTTAAAATAGTTCAGCAGCATTTGCTACAGCCACACGTGGGAACCCTTATTAGCTTGGTGCTGATTAAGTCAAAGAGGCAGCTAAAATTAACATCCTCTCCAGATGTTTTTAAAGGCACATCCAATGAAAGGCCATTCGAAGAGATTCAGTCTGAGGTGATTTATTTTATTTTATTTTCATCTTAAGTTCACCACACCACAAACAGATTTGTTTGCAAACTTAAAAACAACAGTGTTGGATTCGACATCTTAGAAAAATCACCAACAGAAAAACCTTTAACTGTGTGTCTTTTACCGTCTTCAAAGCCTTTTAGCGTTAATATGCGATGTTTCGGGCAAAAGGACTACATTACCCATGACCCCTCGCTTCCTAGCTGACCAGATGGAACGCAGAGCGGACCAGCCGTGTGTGACAGTTGAGCTCCAACAAGTTCACGGTGGAAACTTCAGAGGAGAACACGACCTTGAACTGCAGAGAACCAAGTTTAACATGTAAGTTTGGAGTTTTTCTCTGTTGTTTATGCGCACCTCGCCCCTCACCGGCCGCTCTGATTTTTGTTCTGCCGCTTTGAGGTTTGTTCGTAGATAAACCGTCCAAAATTAGCGAGAGGGGAGCGTCCACAGAGCCCCAGGAAGGAGAAGGTGGTGGGATGATAACAACATTACTCTGTGGGAGGATGAGTGGATGCTGTCATCTTTTAAACATCTTTCTGACGGTGTGTGTAGAAACCTAGCTTAACTTTAGTCATTCTGTCTTTGAACATTAGATGAAACACTAAATTAATAACTTTATGTTTTAGGTATATTGGGTTTAGCTTGGACTCAGCTTTTCTTGGTTTCCCAATCTTTTAATTTATTTAAACCTTTATCGATTAGCTTTCTTAGCAAGACGGTGGCAGCTGCTAAAAGCATTAAAGGTCGGACTCATATTGAGAATATTTACAAAAGCGATAAATTTATCATTGGAGATCAAATTTCAATGCAGCATTGGCAGGGCCGATCAATTTGTTTCATTTGAAATTTAATGTTTGCATGTCTAAGATATATATATTATTAAATGTCATATGTTGATTGTTGGTCAGTTCGTCCTTTCATCAATTTATAAGCCTTTCTCCAGCCCATATGTGATGCCATTTTGTAATCTATTTTGTACATATGCAGGATTTCAGCAAGATACTGGAAAGCATTGACATAAACGATTCAAATTGTAGGCTTTAAAAAAATGTTAAATATACCCACAAAATAGTACAAGTCATCTTTGGTCATTAAAATAAACATAAAGTTTTTTTTTTTTTTTACCTGCGTCAATTAACGAGCTACCCTTTTTTTTAACTCTCCAGTTCTTTTTGCTCTGCTTTGAATTTTCTTTCTCACCTCATAAATCATGACACACACTGAGATGTGTAGCATCCCATCTGTAAATGTACATCATATTCTTTTTGTGTAAGACAGTTCAGAGGTGTACACTGAGGTCAGATGGCATTTGCATTAAAATTTGAATGTGAATATAACCAAGCAAAACGACAGGGACAGAGATCTCGGACTTTAACCCGAGATCTCGGACTTTAACCCGAGATCTCGGGTTAAAGGCATTCATAACTTACCATAATGAAATAGCATTTCATTGCTGTTGTTCCCAAACGTTAAAACTGGTTCCAGTCGAGAACCGTGGAATACCTGGTTCTCAGAACAGACTGTGATGTAACCTTGTGGACAGGCCAATCTGAAAACGAAGAAACAGCAATCATGGTGGTGAACAAGGGCTGCAGAAGCGTGCATTATGTCCACCATCTTGCCACTACACTCTTCTTCTGTTTTGTGTAGCATTCACAACACCTTTGCTTTGTTCGGAAAACAAAACAACGTTCGTAGGGACACGAACCGAACCTGTTCTAGAACAAGAGTTTGCGCTATATGAGGACCAGAAATATTTAGGTTTTGTACTTAAAATGTTTCTGTTTGCAAAAGATCTTGGATGCTTTATTTTTTCCATTTATAGTCATGTTAATTTTGTAATTTATTTCTTTTCTACTTCACGTCTTGCTAAAAAAAAATGATTTAGTTTGGCTTTAGAGAAGCCATTTTTACTTTAACTAGACATTTTGAACACGTGAGGTTTGCTGCCTAGTCTAACTGCTGTGACTCACGAAGGGTTTCAAATACACAACCTGGTGGAATATGAATAGCACCTTTGTGTGTTATCCGCTTTTTAATTCCCTGTTTATTCAACAGTGTTGAATGAGCTGTCAAATGGAGGTATTATCCAGAGGCAGAATGGAATGAAACACCCGTGTCCAGGCGTGGTTTATGAAGTAACGCTCAAGGTTAAGCAGGGCAGTGTTCTGAAGGAACAGCTAATCACTTTCAGGCTCTTTTAGTTCTTTATTTGTTTGGTTAAAATCCTCCTGCAGCTCTTCAGCAGTTATCAGTTTGGAAAAACACAGACCAGAAGAAGAAGACGAAGTGTGGAGGAGTTGAAAATGCAACATGCATTGTAACTTCATAGCTCATTTTATACAAAGTGACTTAATACAATATGAATATTCCTTGTGGAAAGTTTGGAGTAATTATGTGCAGCTAATGATTAACCAAACACATCCTGTCTTTAAAATCAGGTCAAAGAGGAGGCTGAGGGCTCAGGGAACAAGCACTTCCTACATGATGATGTCATTTAATTGTTCTCTGCCAGCTTGGGAACACTGCTTTCATTTTGGGCTACTCTGATGCTGAACTTGTATTTGGCTACTATTGATTGCATGCAAACAATGTAGGAAGATAACTGGAAAAACTGTCAAAGCAACTTAAAGCTTGACTATCAGTAATTTTTCATTGGCATTAGTTCTTTCCTTTGTGCTTTTTCCTAGTTAAAATCAGATCTAGTGTTACATCCCAAGAAACCAGACGGTCGTCAACAAGTCAGCCCAAACAATGAAACTAATTCTTTGTATTTTCTAGATTCATTAAACACACAGTCATGAAATGTAAGCATTTATTTCTGTTAATCTTCATGATTGACTCACAGCTACTGGAGACAAAATTCAAGTTCCTAAAAAGATTTGAAAGTTGCACCAGACAAATAAAACTGTATTTAATTAAAAAAATGTTGAAAACTAAGTTCACTTACAGTACTGTATGTGCACTCAGTACTTAGTTTGGGCTCTTTTGGCATGAATTACTGCATCGATGCAGCGCGGCACAAAATAAATCAGCATGTGTCTCTGCTGAGGAAGCCCAGATTGCTTTAATAGCAACCTTCATTGTGCAGCACTGGCTCTGCTGTCGCTTGTCTTCCTTTTTTAAAATACTTCATCGTTTCTCAGTGGGATTCAGATCAGGAGAAACCACCGTCATTTGAGTAAAAATTATACCTTTGGCAGTGCTGGAGGGGTGCTAAGTCCAGATAAAAATATAATCAGCATCATCTTAAAGCTTCTCAGTATAGGAACTTTGGACTTGATAAAACACAGCTGATTTTCATATGAAGTATAATGAGTGAGAATCCAGTCCTTTTTCATATTAGCCTGGAAAAGGCTGCGTTCAGCTGTTTCTCTGGTTCAGGTGTAGTCTAACCCAATGCTTGTAGCTGCATACATCTACCTGTACTGATTCTTCCAGATTACAGTCATCCACTCTGGGCCTGTCGCAATAAGGAATAAATCAATTAATCGCATGATGTTGTTTTGCTTGCTTATTTTGGATATTTAAAATACCTTCCAGCTCCAGTGATAAAAGTTAATCAGAATTTAAAGTTAATCTTTTAGAATGTGCTCTTGCATTATTATTATGATGCCGTTACATTATATAACTTGAAAACGGTCTCAGAAAAACAATATTATTGTTTATCGCTATAACTTCTGCGTACCATTTATTGTCCAGCAACATTAATTATCGTGACAGGCCCAATCTGCTGTCGATTATGTGTTTTTGTTTTTCTACTGAACCCTTTCCTTCCACTCAACTTTCTGTGAATATCCTTGCTTACAGCACTCTGTGAACTGCACTGACATCTTTTAGCTTTTCCACCATGTGTTTCCTATAGTTAACAATATTTCTGACTCGCTACATTGTGGGTTTTTAACAAATGTAAGCAATAATACGGCTTGAAACAAATCACTATTTGAATGGAATTAGTGAAAAAAATAATATTTTGATCAGTCTATTGAGCTGAACCTGGAGTTGAATCAGTAAAAATGTATTTTATATGTCTCATTTTTAACAGCATATTTGTTTGTTTACTGAACAGCCTAGCTTTCTCCTGCAGCACCATGACTGTGTCAGTCCGAATGCTCTTTTGTGTCTAAATAAAAAAAATGGGAAGTAAGTACTGTGCACTTTTGTACACAACTGACTTAAAACTTCAGTCTGGCTGGAATAACCTATAAAAATACCACAAAGGAAACCAGAACTGTTTGTGTGCTTTTTGAGTATTTCTATGTATACTCACTCACACATTGCTTGAATCAGTTCAGTGTATCTTTTGTAGCTGTTCCTAACATGTTCAACTAGATTTGACAAACATTCCCCACTTTGCCCTTCAAAGATGTGTTTTTAGTGCAACATTACGTCAAGGTCCAGCGTAGTAACAGTAGATTTCTGTCCCCTTTTTAATACAGTCTGTTACTATATTTGGGCAAATAAAACTCCCAGCAGCTGCCAGACTGATTCATCTGCAGAATACTATTGGTCTGCTTTAGGATGTGTGTAATTAATCACAGATAGGACTCTGTAAATCAGTGACCAGCAGTGCTGGGAAACGGACTTGGGCTTTGGCTCGGTGATAAAGGTTGAACAACAGGATAATATCTGATTAGAATAATAAAAGCTGGGAGCAGAGCTCGGCTTTCGGATGGATGCAAATAAAACGTGCACATGAGGAAGCGGGAAGTTGTGACTTTTATCACAGTTTCTGACCATCGCGGACTTCCAGCTTCTTCTGGTTTTAAGTAGCTTCACTTTGTCCATTGTGTCTCCACCCCCCAGCAAGATAAAACGGCTTGCCTTTTCCCACCCCATCCTCCTCCTCCTCCTCCTCCTCCTCTTGTCTCGTTCCCATGCCGGCCCCACCTCCACTCTGCTTCACTGTTGCTTCCTCTCTTTCTGGCAGGACACAGTCGGTGCAGGGAAGAAGCCGGCCGGTAAAGCAACACCAGCTGTAGAGAGCTTTTGTTTTGATGGGAATACGCTGAAGGAAGCCGCACCACTCCTACACAGAGCAACAAATGCAAAGAAACTACTTAGGCAGCAGCGTAAGTCTTTTTTTTTGTTTGTTTTTGTCTTTTACATTATCAGCACAAGCTGGTGCAGTGTTTGCACTTTTCTGCTCTCGTGCCGCTGCTGTGATCCATGTCCATTTATTGCAGTTAGCACCAAATCATTTACCTGCCGGTTTTCTCACTCTTGCACTTGTCAATTTAAATTTATTGCAGGCTTCTTTGAAGTCTTGTTTTGCTTTCTCAGTGTTAAAAAATGTGTTTTAGAGATTAAATGTTATATACTAAATTTATATCCTATATGTTGGTCATTATTTGGTAAACTGTCATTTTGTCACAATTCAGAGACCTCTGTATTTTACCAATGAAGTAAAATACATTGAAACTGTGAACCCTGCTTACCCTTTGAGCCTGGACTTTGGACATCTTAGACAAAAATTCAACTTAAGATAAAAATAAATTATTTAAGCTACATCTTTTTAGCTGGCAGTTTAATTTGTGGTTTAAAGGTCAGTAACTCGGTTAAGAGGTGTTTTATTTTCTATGACCAGATCTCATGTATCAGCATGGCGAACCTGTAGGTTGTTTTTAAACTATAAATAGGATTTACCCCCTGCAGGTTGAGTGTATTTCTCTTTAGAAGGGTGAACGTCTTGGTATTTAGGTTTTTGAGACCACTTTCCTTTCACGTGGAGTCGCTGTCCAGATTTAGCTCTGCCAGTTGTCAGGGTGACATTCCTGCTCCCAGTAAACTCTTCTGTTGTTTCCCATGCTCTTTTTGCCATTTTATCCCTGTTTAATCTCTCTGTTAATTTCAGATAAACTAAAGAATAAACATTGACAATTGCTATATTGCATTAGAATACACAGAATTTCATTATTTCTTAATTACTTAAACCTTGCTGTATTGTATTTAGGCTCTTTTTTCATTGTGTTTTTTTGTTTGACAAGTTTCATTTTTAAACAGATACATTATTAATAATACAACAGATTGTTTTGAATATCATTTTACAACACGCCTGCGTTGTGTGACATTGATCTTTGGCCACGTGATGAGATGATTCGGCCTCTATTTCCTCTTCCTGCCAGTTTGAAAATGCCACCAAACCTTTGCTGGCATTGGAGTATTGTCAGGAGGGATATCAACGTAACGGCTTCCTTCTGGAAACCTTGTAGGAAGCGTAGGTAACAAATGATTAATCAAACGGTTCTTGTAATTTAAAGGTGGCCACAGAGGAGATTGGTTCATCAGATAACGTCTGCTTCCTAAATGATGATGTCAGCTTGAATACGCCAGTTTCATTTTGACCCATTTAACTTATGCCTCTATTTATTTATTATGTTTTGGATAAAAACATCATATGTGAACATTTTGGATAAAAACATCACATATGAACATTTAACTGAAGCCTAAAATGTTGTAGTTTGGCTTGTTCCTGTTATTAACTTTATTTTTTATTTATGCGTCGTTATGTGGTTGAGATGTAGTTAAACACTGAGATGCCCTTCCGTGTTCATATTCATAATTGGAGCAATAAAGCGTATGGGTATCTTGGCAACACAGATACGGCTTCAACTCTTGTCAAACAATATTCTGCACTTCAATTGCACTATAAATGTCTTGTGATCTGTGTCTAATCAGGCTGCCGGGTGGGGATTTTTTGTAGTGCACTGCAGTCGTGAGCTGATGCACGTCTTATCTGCTCACTAAAGCGTATTGCAGATGACCTGTTGGATCATTGCTACTGACCGATAAGGAACAAATATTTGTTTCAGGATCATTTGAGGATATTGGATGATTTTTAAAGGTTGGTAAAATAAGGGTGATTAAAAAAAAATCAGAAGAAAGTTTAGAATAAATGTATTAAAGTGATTTTGTCTGTCTTTCACAATTTAAGCTTATAAGATCAAATAAACGTAGATATATACAAGCGTATGTATTGTGTGTATGTATATTTATTTATCGGTGGTATTATGTATTTCACAGGCACGTAAAGCCATTTTATAGCACATTCAAGTAACGGAGTTACCTTCAGCAGTTATACAAATTCTATATCAAACACGACTTAAAAGAAATTTGACTTTGAAATTTGACGCCTTGAAATTGAACCTGTCTCTTTAAGAAGCTCCTGCTCTTTGTCACTCTGCCTTCACGTCATCACAACCATGTTCCTCCACTATGCCTTTAACATCAATCTTATGAGCGTTGGACTGAGAAGTAATTTGTATGATAAGCTCAGCAAACTGTCAGTTTCACCAGGTATTTGCTAATTGCTGCTGCCGCTAGTCTGAAGGGACTGAGTAGGGGAAGGTGCTCTGTGAAGCAGGTGAAAATAGGCGAGGTTTTGTGGGAGCAAGCGTTTAGGCTCCCCTGAATGGTTCCCAGGGGAGACTAAAGGAGTCCTCAGATATGCTTGAAAGAATCAAAGCGACACTCCATGTATAATTATGATGAGAGAATTACATTATGACATGATATAAACCTCAAAAAGGTTGATTTTACACCAACCTTCCTTAAATGGGTGGGTGTAATGGGCAACCTGAGATGCACTGTTACTGTTAATAACATCAAATTACTGATTTTCCAAGCCAACTATGGTTCAAAGTTTCTTTTTTCTTGTCTCACCTTTCATACTTTAGAAGTAATGAAGCCGCTCATTTTCACTGAACATGTTTGTTGTTGTTTCGAGGCGTACAGGTTCAGCCGCGGTTCATGCTGGAGTTTGTTTGGATTCCAAAGGATTTAAAGCAGAAAAACTGTAACTGCTGCTGCTGTTAATCCTGATCAGGATTTTCCCCCATTTTGTTCTTTTTTTTTTAATACAGTGGTGTGAAAAAGCATTTGCTGCCTTCAGGCGTTATCATCAATTAAATGACTCGTATCATGAAACGTATTTTAATAGTTGAAAAACACAAAAAGCAGCTTTCAAATAACTAATATATCGAGTTAAAAACCAACATGGTCCTACAATGTAAAGGAGGAACCTAAAGAACCAAGAACATCTCAGGTGCTTCAGGCCTCACTGCTGCAGAAGTTAAGATCAAGATTTGACAATAAAAAACTAGATGTATATATAAAAAAAAATCTGGTTTCTTCACCAAGGACGAGAGTTGATTTATATCAGTTCTTTACTGACTTCATTTCTTGTATTTTTCAGTTTGGTTTGAAGTCTTTTTAATGTGTGGAGGAAGATCACCTGTTGCCTTTACTGCATTTTAATTTTCTGACATTGATAGTTATTTTAAAAGCAGGCAACCACTGGTATAAAAATCAGGGCCGATATCAAGATCAGATATCAATGTTGGTGTTATGGCTTCAGGTAAACGGCCCATAATCCTCCACTGCTGAACTATCGGCATCACATGCCCAAAAAACGCCACATGGCCAACCTCCTACCGAAACACATACAGCTGACAATAGGATGGAGATAAACATCGGTTATTTATATCGGCCCAGTTTTACTTGTAGGGTTGTTATGAATATGTTAAAAAGTGACCAACCTGTTAATGACAGTATAGCATGCATCACTGTTTAAAAGTTTGTTTGGCCTTAATCTTTCAAAATGGAGAATCATAATTTTGTCAGAGTGAAGTGAGATTCTGCATGTTAATCTAGTATCACTGGTGAAAAAAAAGTATCCTCTTTGTTTTAGAAATCCTAAATGGCTTAAAATCTGTTCGATGTGAGTATAATATCATCAGCTGCATAGTACATCTGAACATCTGTGTTCAATATGCAGTTTGTCAAAATGAACTAATTATTCAGGTAGCATGGATTCAAGACATCCGTCCGTCAAATACATTTTGTTTAAATCAGCATAAAAATGTTTTGAAAAGCTGGTACAGTGGTACAAGTTGTTTAAATCCCACGTCAATCTAAAGCGACTTTTTCAATAGAACCTCTTTGTTCAGATGGAAACTGGGCTGCAGCTTTAAAACCAGCCCAAGCCTTCTTACTGCAGCTGTTTGGTTTAAATCTGTTGATCAGATGCTACGTCTGTCTTAAATTGTGATTTTATTATTATTATTATTATTATTATTATTATTATTATTATTATTAAAGTGTAACAGTGCTAATTATGCGCTAAACAGACTTGTTTGGAAAGTGTTAGTCTTGCTTGGAGGATGAGTGTAACATCTTTGCCAAGTGTTTCTCGTTACTTTGTTAAACATTAAGTCAATGGTTCTCAACCTTTTTGGCTTGTGACCCTCAGTAGACAAAGCACAGGTGGCAGAATCTTTAGATGGGACATGTCCCCCATTCACTCTGTCATTTTGGAAGAGTGGCAAGATTTATTAAATTAAATTAAATTAAATTCATCATTAACTTAAAGGAAGACTTGTCCAGGACACTGGGCTGCGAGGTTTGACTCACTGGAGTAACATGTCCACGGTAGTCAAGGGAAGGTCAAGAGAGTGTGAACATGTTCAAAGGTTATCAGCCGCAGGGTAGATGAGATAAATGAGTTTGCTAATTTACTTATTTATATGAAGTTAAATGTTGAAATACAGTAATAAAATTAACATTTATAGTTTTTGGTACTCTGAAGGTTAGCATGAACCAGCTCAATTTTCCACAAACTGAAGATAATTTGGACTTAGCTTTAAGATGAATCATCGTTTGTTGGGGTCAGAGTTTAATGACTTTTCTGTCTCTTAAGAGGTTGAAGTAAATTGATCTCTCAGAATGTAGACTTTGTAAATTTCCAGTGAGAACAGTGAATTAAAAAGTCCTTAATAGCACCTGACAGTCCTTGAATGCGTGTGTCCTGGCCTCCTCCACCCCCCCACCCCCCTGGTTGCGTCCCTCTCTGTGTCCTGCGTGCCTGGGCTCACGTACACACCCTCCTGGAAGGGCATTGTTTGCTCAGAGAACCAGTGCAGAGCTCTGCAGCGCCGCTGCTCCGGTCCACGCTCCAAGGTCAAGCGGCAGGCATTTGCTGCTTGTGTTTCACAGGTTCTGCTCTGATATGACTTCAGATCAGCTCCATGAACCAGTTCATCCCACAACTGATTCACTAATTAATATTATGCAACAAAATGAAAAGCCTTGTTGTGGGATATGCTTTTGAAATTCCCTGTTGGCATTTTAAGTTTCCACCTTTTTGAGGTCGCTGCACTAATCTTTCTCTGGAGCTCCTTTATTTTCTGCTGGAGAAACGTCCGAGATTATTACTCCACTGGCATTTTCTTCTGGTGTCCAAAAGGGTAAAAAATCAGGATTGCAAAGAATCACTAAATGTCTAATAACTTATATATTACAATTAGTGTATTTTATGTCTTGCTTCTAGTATAAATATCTTAGTTTTGTCTCATTTCAAGCATATCAACTTACAAGTAACTTTTCAGAAAGAAATAAGAGCTTAATATTGATGATATTCATTCAAATGGTACCATTTCACTTCCATCTAATACTTTTTTTAATCAATATTAAGGAATTATTGACCTAAAACAAGCTCCTACGTCGTGCTGAACTTGCTAGTTTTGTCATACCTCAGGTTCATTAAGATGCTTGATCTAGAAACGAGACCAAAAATGCTTGGTGAGATTTAGTGTTTTTTGTAGCGTATCCGATAGGGTACGCTACAAAACTCCCCATTTGGCTGCGTTTTTATTGAATCATCCTCAATGGTTACCGACCACCAAATCAAAGCTGACTTTGTGCTGCTGATGCGAAAGGATTAGGCATTTTCCACTTTTGAACTTTTGGGGTTAATCGCACGATATGAATTTTGAAATTATTTACCCGCAGTCATCTCAGACTTCCATACAGAAAGATCAGACTGATGTAAGAGCCTAAATCTGTGTGGTGTCGGTTGTCAGACCTCGCTTGGGGGAGACAGGATTAACGGGGACGTGTTGGCCACAAGCAGGAACACTCAGCTGATTGAAAGTATTTAAGACGGCGGCGAGGAGTGACGAAGCAAAAAGAGCCTCTGCACGACTGATACTGATATATAGAGATAACGGGGAATCAAATCCAGTTAAATTGAATCACGACAGCTGTGTTTCAGTTGTCATGTGCCTATTGCATGTGTCTGTATGTACCCTGATAGCCCTGCGGCAGCTGCTGTAATTAGGCCTTTACCCTCTGGTCAGCATGTTTTATTGACTTCAATAACTGGGTTGAGCTATCAAGTGTCCTTTTGTTACCAGTCTGGGCAAAGCGTCAAGCCTTTATGTAACTTTGGTTAATATGAGGCATCGTTTTAATAATAAAACACGGCTGAGGCTGTCAGCTGTTTAAACTGGGTGAGAACAGAGACGTCAGAAAGGCGGGCACAGTTTCTTCATGCGCCGGTGGGAGAAAAAATGTGAAAACACCACGGTTTAGAAAAACAACCACAAAAACATTTTCAAAGCCTTCATATATGTTTTAAAAAAATCTAATTAATATCTTAAAATCCTTGTTTCCAAAAGCATTAGCTTCAGTTTTGTACTCTAGGAGGTGATCTCGACTCTTGTAAGAATGGCTGTAGCTCCAGGCAGCAAATGTTTTGTGCATAATTCATACAGCAGCAGCTTGTTCCTCAGGCTTTGCGTTGTGTTTATAGTGGTGAAATGCTCTGCTGAAGAACCTGATCTCTGCGGCTCCAGGCTGTTGTAACTCTATCTTTGTGACCCTAAAACTCAGACCTTTAACAGTAAAGGGCACCGCAAGGAAACACTGGAGTGAAAACAAAACATTTTGTATTCACTCAAACAAAGTGAAAACACTTGTTTTATTATTAAAACGATGCCTCGTATTAATCAAAGTTGCATAAATGTCAGGAGTGGCTTGGATCTGAATCACGATAAGAACATGTTTTTTAATGCCTTGTGCAGGTTGAATAAGTTATAGTTTGTTACAGTTCAGATTTCATGAGAAATATAACGGAGGAAATAACAGAAATAAAGAATGTTGCATTCAGTTATCCAGAATTGTGTCTTTCTAAGAACTAAAGTACAGTCATTTCTCTCCAGATGAATCAGAGACTGCTCTTCACCGTAATTTGACTTTTAGTCTAACCTGTCAGTGCATTTTAATTTGTTGGCTTGCAATATAAAATATACTAATAATCGAGGCTAACATGAGAGAAAAAAAATACATAATACTGTTTAAAACTGTGATGTGCAACTGCAAACATTTGTGGAACTGTTTATTTTTTAAAGTAATCACTGTTTATGCTGTGTGATTATTTAAATACGAGATGTTAGAACTAGCTATAAGAAAGGAGAAAAAAAGCAATTTATCAACTCAACTGTTGTGACTGCAGACGTGTATCACACTTTGCTTTTTCTCCTTTAGTGAGTTTATTAAATGGTTTAAATTGAAGGCAAATAAAAGACAATATATACTTCTGCAGATTTAATGTGCAAGAGCCAGCTGTCTATTTTCTGCAATACAGTGTCTTGGGTCTTTATGTTTAACAAGTGTTTGAATTTTTTTTTTCTTTTTGTTCAACGTTATGCAGAATTGAAACTAGAAAGTTTTTCTCAAAAGTGGAAGAGTCCAGCATCCACATTCATGCATCGTTCTAATCACCCGTCTTTGTTTTGTCTCTTTCTTCTCTTGTTTTCCTGCTTAGGCTTCACCTGCAGGTTTACAGAGGCTCCAATGACCTTCATGTCTCTGTTTGGCCCCTAAGCCCACCAACAGGGCGCCCGGCTTTAAGCTCCTGTTCACCCTGAACCCTCCGCCCCGAGGCAAGCTGTCCCACCCTGCGTCCTCTCCTTCCTCGCCTCCTCCGGCTCGTCTTTCTCCTCCCTCCTGGCATCCACAGGCCCATCTGGACTCCCAGTCAGCCCTCTACCCCAATGAGGGGCAGAGGGAGGCACCGGGCGCCCTGTATGGTGACCCTCAGCCTCTGCAGCATTCTGCACCCAGGAACGTCTGTGACTCGGCGCAGCGGTCCCGCCACGACGCGTCCACTATAACAGGTACACAGATTTATTTTAAAAGGCAGTTATGGCCAAACATATGTATGCTTAGGTTTTTTGTACTTGTCTTTACAAGATTCCTCAGAAGAAATTAATAAATTTAACGGCTACAATTGGTGAATATATGTCAAATTTATACCAAATGTCAGTATTTACAGCGTAATCCTTCATATTTTCTTCAGTTCACTCTGACATTCTGGAGATAAACAAAAACATCACTGATATTGATTCATTCTTGTCTGAATTCTTGAAGTTCATCCACTCTTTCTTGGCTTCATTCAATGTTGTGTTTTCCTGGTTTTACTGTAAGTCAAGTGTCTTTTATGAGAAGTAACTCATGGATGTGGTCATTCTCATAATCTGAGTGAGAGTGAGATTATTTTATTCCAGAATGTTGGACTGTGTGATGAAAAGTTATACTGTTTAAAACTAGTAGGGAAATTCAACTGCTTAGGCAGCGGTGAACCTCTGGAGGCCAGCACTCGTTAGGTTGGTTTTTATGCAAAATGATGCGGCACTAAACAAACTTACAAAAAGATGTCAAAATTCATACAGAAACATAAAGATGGAGCCCAAAATAATTTATTTAAATAGTTTTTTTTCTGCAAAAAAAGTTGATTTGGAGTTGGTTACACTTTTAAAAGAAAATCCTGGGGCTTGTTATATACTCTTGAATGTTCATAATTTTTCTCCAGTCCATCAATTCTGGGTAAACGATGTATTACAACTTTTTTCTCCGGTAATGTAACCTAAACTTTACAAATAAGGTCATTTTTAATGTTGACACCAATTCATTGCTAATCTTTCACTCTTTTCTGCTGATGACACTGAAATGAATTGACAAACAAAACAACTTTCTCATTCTGCACAGGAAGCTAAGAACAATGTGGACTGCCAGCACATTGCAGTCCACATTGTTCTGCAAAACATCATTTCTGTTTTGCAGAAATGATGTTCTGCAAAACAGAACATCATTTCCAAACCTCAAACCATGACTCTACAAGCAATAACAATGGAGCGCAATAAATCTATACCTTAACCACTGCACTACCACTAGAGGGCAGTGTAGCTGCATGGCTGACACATCAACCCTGTTGTTAATTTTATTGTTGCTTTCTTTTTCTTCTTCCCTCATTCCTGAACTCGCACATTCATGAATCCCCCAAACTCTGGGCGCGCTCAGACCTTTGCTCCAACCTGCCAGAGCTGGAGATAGTGAGTCTGCTGTCAGAAGGTCAGCCCAAGTACACCCTAAGAGCCGACACCGTGTTCGGATATGACAGTGACGACTGGCTGCACACCCCTCTGGTGCCACCAGAGGTCGTACTGGGACTCACTTATGAACAGATCGAAGAGACCTTCAAATATTTCTGTGAGTACTGCTCGTTTTCTACATGATGTATGTGTATGGTGTGAGGTCTCAGGATTAATAAAATAATATCCTTTTAAGATCTAATGTCAAACATTCAGATGATATTTTTGTTTTCGGATAGTATTTTCTCTCAAAGCTTTTTACTGCAGAGCTGGATAAATCACTCCTATTTAATTCATTAAAAAGTTTTGCACAGGGTCCGGTTCAATCTTCAGCTGCAGCAGGACAATGAGCTGATTAATGAAAGATTTTGGAATGGCCTAGTCAAAGTCTGACCTTAAATGAAACTGAGATCCTACTTAATGAACTTTAAACACACAATTTTTGCTTAAAAACTCTTCAGTGTGGCTTAATTAATTGAAACTAATAACTAACTGATTAACTACAGGAGCAACATGCGGATCACAAATATCTGATCAGCATCTTCACACTAAGTAATGATTTAATTTAAGTTTATCCTGTTGGATCATGGAATAACATACATTAATGAGCATCTCACATGACGAAATGGATTTTAATGATTTTTTTTTAAAGAAAGATTTGCTCTAAAACTACTTACTAAAAAAGGCTTCCCTCACATTTCTTAGTTAAGTCTTAGCTGATTTAGTTTGAAATAAAAAACAAACTCCCATGTTTCGTTTTGGGCTCTTTTCCGATCTCACATCTCCAGGATAAGTGCTTCATTTTGAAGTCTTTGATGTCAAATGCCATCAAGCCAATTACCCTACTGTTCCTTGGTGCTCTAAGCAGTTTACGCTGAAGACGAGCAGACTGCGGATCCCTTTGGCCGCTCTGACATCACGATGACAGGGTTGGCATGACGACTGCTGCTGCAGCCACCCTGAGATGGTTTATTTTTAGATTCATAGGTTGTCTAGACTTTGTAGGGTGATGGACGGATGTGTGACAAAAGGTCAGATGCTCTCTGTGTACTTTTTAGCAATCCGATGTCTACAGTGTAAAAAATGTTTTAGTAAAAGACTCTTTTATTTAAAATAACGGGGCTTGATTTATACATGTACAAATACAGCTACTCATATTTGATGTTTTTTACATGATTAATCCTTAACTTTTAAGACCATTCTCAGTGACCTGACCCTTCTTTGTTTCACGGTTGGTTAAACCAGGTTTTATCGAGGCCTTCAGGAAATCTGAACAGACCAAGATTCACTTGTTTTTGTGGAAAATAGTCCACTAAGGAAATTGGCTTATAGTGAGGATTTAGTGAGATTGTAGGGTATGTCCTGCTAACACCCAGTAGACTGTCCCAGGATGATGGCAACCACATGTTGCTACCAGAACCAGGACAGACTAATCTGATTGATGCACATTGTGCCACACTGTGCTTCTGTTTGAATTATTTAGCCAAGGGACATATGGTGGTGTTTGTCAGTGCTACTGAATCCTCTGGCATCTTGTTTCCCTGCTGTTGTTTCTGCTCTGCATTTTATTTTTACCACTAGGCTCTGAAATGAGTCTTGTCACACTTGTTTTGTGTAACTGATGGTTTACTGAGAACCTGAGGCGTCCTCATCAGTCCATGTACGGCAACATTTCCACAATTTTTAATATTTTTCATGAGAACAAACTTCTAGGATAGTAACTAAAACTATGGTAAAATAAGTAAGTATTTAAAAAAGTTTGACAGGAAAGTTATTCTGAAAAGATGTTACAAATGTTTTAAAAGAAGAAGAGACTAATGCATTCTGAAATACATGCCTCAATTTAACAACTTTTATTTTTTTAAAAGTGTTTTCTGTAAAAACTTAAAGCGTGTGTCTTAAATTTTACATCTTATACTAAAAGTGGATCTTTTGGGAAAAGTAATGCACTCTCTGTCCAAACTTTCTTTAATGCAGAAAATTCATTATATTAAAATTAGAAAAGTCCTTGTTGTGAAACAAACAATGAGATTTGTGTTCATAATAGTAGCTGTTGCACAACATTGGACAGTCGCAACTTGTTGTTCAAGAGGACAATGTGTTATCCATTTATGGTAGTGGATTTCCTTTGTAGAGTGACATGGCCTTAAAGGGTTTTTTTTGTGTGTTTTTTATTGCTTTTCAGTTTTTATAATTTGGAAATGCACATTTTGAATTATGCTACATAGATTTAAGAATAAATTGTATTTGCCCTTCATCTTATTTAAAGAAAGTAGCTTGCCTTTGTGACACATGTGGGTGTATAAGCTCAAGATCCCTGGTTTACTGCAGCTATGCTAACGGCAAAGAAAATCTTCAAGGAAAACTGTTTATCCACCGTCATCTGTGGCCATTTTGACTAGTCGGTGTCATAGAAGCTGTAGCGTAGTAGAGAGCAGTACGTACATGAGGATGATTGACAGTGCTAAGACCCTCCTCCTGGCTCTGATTGGTTGTGTGTGATGTGGGGCGGTGAATTGCTGCAGATGGCAGCAGGTCTACAAGGAGAAAACAGAGGAGTTGGAATAACTGGAATAATAATTTTTACTGTTTAAAGTAAAATTGCATCTATCACAATTAATGTGCAAAGTTTTTAAAGTGTAGTATTATAGATGGAGCTCAGCTCTGCTGAGTGAATTAGTTTGTTTTAGTTCATAGCATATTTAACACCTGCAGTAAGCAACTGGAAACTTTTTATTGCAGCAACACAACTTTGATATAAACCTATCTGAGAAATGAGCAAAAGTCAGTCATTTGTGGTCAAATTTAACATTTTAGATAATTCAATTAGATTTTTAGACATATTGTATTGTCAAACGAGAGCATTGAGTGAATCTAAATACAATGTGTTGCATGTAGGAAGGAAGGAAGCATTGGACAAGATTTTTTTCAGTGACATAAAATCAGCAGCTATCGCTTTAATTTTGGGAGTATGCAGTTCAACAAAAGGAGCTCTGTCTTTATCATGCCGGGTGTTTTGATTGTTCACTTGGGAGTCGACTGCAAATGAAGCGTCTGATCTTTACAACGTAGTCCCTGGTTATGCATTAAGTTTATTAAAGGCACGTAGGGGGAGTTTTTATTTGGATGCTGTGAATAAAAGCACCTTCCTGGTTTTCGACTCACAAAGAATCTCATTGATTTCAGCGCTGTTGCTTGGACTTGCAGCAGTGAAGCAGATTAAAGTAAATATTAATAAATCACTAAGTGATTTGTAAGAATGTGTTGAGTGAATGTTTAATGGTAACATCATTATGAGGATATAGCTCCACTTCTTAATGATTTGATGCAACCATACACCAACATAAAAAGTATCCAACAACTGAAGTAGAAGGAAACTGCCACATGGGTTTCAAAATGTTTTGTAGATAAATATCTAAAAGGTTTGTGGTTTTCTGTTCATGAATCATTTTAACTCAAGTCATACTTCTGTATAAATCGGTCTATTGTGGCTCTGGTCAGACTTCAAGGTTGTTGTTCTCCTTTAAGGTGAACCTCCAGTCCTTCTCACAGGTTTTCACTGGTTATATATTAAGTTTATTAAAGGCACGTAATCTGCTCACGGTGCTTGTTTATGGATGCCTTGATCAAGGAAGTAAAGCACATTCCTACGTTCCCTCTTACAAAGAAACCTTGTTGATGTTTGAAGAGTAAAGCAGATGGAATTTATTGATAAATTGCTAAATGATTTGTAAATTTTGGCTTAATTACTGCAACAAACAGATGGGGGACAACACAAAGTGACAATATTGGGTAACACTTTATTTGAAGTGGGGTGAATAAGACTGTCATGACACCATCATAAACATGACATAACACCTGTCATGAACATGAATAAGCCTTCATGAATATTTATGACTGTTGTCATAAAACGTCATTCGGTAAATTATGACACTTTAATACAAAGTTGACATTATTCAAAATGTCTTTGTTATGACAACTTGACATTAACCAAGAAATCATTACTGATATAAATTTGTTATAAAATAATTACTGATTTCACTTTAAAAATTAGGTAACTTTATGTTATTAAAGGTAAAGTTTAATCAGTAATTATTTCTTGGTTAATGTAAAGTTGTCATAACAAAGACATTTTGAATAATGTCAACTTTGTATTAAAAGTGTCATAATTTACCGAATGACGCTTTATGACAACAGTCATAAATATTCATGAAGGCTTATTCATGTTCATGACAGGTGTTATGTTTATGACAGTGTCATGACAGTCTTATTCAACCCCACTTCAAATAAAGTGTTACCCAATATTGTAAGGAAATAATTTACTTGTATAAACCCAAACTGCAAAACACAAAATCTTATCAATTATGTTTGGTCTCTAGTGCAAATATCTTTAGTCTTATTTCAAGTGTAATGTTCCAGCATGAAATGGGAGCTTAGTTGTAAGTTAAATAGCATTTAAGACATTTTTCCCCGCATACTTAAGATTGTACGGTCTTGTTCCTAGTTAATTTTGTCTTATTTGAAATGTCCTAAGATATTTGCACTTAAAACTAAACCCAAGAAAAACTTGGTAAGATTTTGTTTTTGCAGTACAAAAGTGACATGTGTCACTTTTCGGTAATGTTTGAAAACTGGGATATGTGGAGGTGCAAAAATAACTAAAACCAAATATTAGAGGTGACCAGAGTCGACTCCACTCTGAGCAGAGGAGCCTCCACTGCAGAGGAGGCAGGAGCACAACAAGTCCATGAGCATCTCTTACTACTAATGGCAGGTTCCCCTAAAAAGCTAAAAGAAAGAGACTCCCTAGTGGTGGGTTTGTCACACAAACAGCCTCTTAGAGAAACTGGTTCCACTAATAAGCCAATTAACTCTACAAACTTGCTATATTAAAAAAAAAAAAGATATGCTTACAGTCCCCAGTACCTAGAGAAATTACTTTTAAGATTAACATTTAGGGAAGGAGAGGTTTGATCAAAGGGCTCAATGTGATGACACTCCCGGAGATTAAGGGGCAAAGCATCCGCCACATGGCTGTCAGAGTCATTATGTGGCAAGTATGTAAACGAGAAGACTAAAAACAAAATCCATTGCATTGATATGCGATTTGGACAATGGAAGGAGTTCAACAAAGTGGTTGGATTATGGACCACAAGAAGAGCAGTGAACTCTTCATCACAGCAAAATGTTGACGTGTCCAGACAAGAGCCGGTGTTTCTTCACTGATGACAGAAAAGCTTAAGAATAGAAAAGAGTTTCTTCCTGTGTTGACTTTCTGTTCCTTCATAGCTGGGTTCATGCTGAGAATAAGTTACACACAGGTGGATTCTTAAGCGACTTTTAGAGACAATTTACGGCATTGGCTTTTATTTAAGGGTGTTTGAGCAAAGACTGAACACAAATGCATGGCATTCTTCTAATTTTCATTTGAATGAAAATATATCATTCTGTCATTTTCCATCTTTTTCACAAGTGTTTGTGTTGGCCTCTCATAACTTCCCAAAGAAACACATTACAGTTTGCGGTTGTAACATAAAACATATGAAAAAGCTTAAGAGGAATGGATACTTTTGGAAGGGACTGTAGTTTTTAGTTTTTTTTATGAAGCTTGTGACTCTTGTTGATTTGATATTGAGATCAGAGTCCTCTGTTCATTATTTCCTTATGACCATCCGTTTCTCTGGAATTTTAATTATCTTGCTTTAGTAATCAGTTTAAGAGCTGCACGGTATCAGGAACGTGTAAACTGGAATAAGCAAGCGTGTTGTGTCAAAGACGCGGCGTGGCGTCCCACCAGTGGCGGTGAAAGTGGTTTCTGTGAACTTGCAGGCTGCAGGTTGATATCCCGCATGGCCACTGAAATGTTTATGAGGAGGTTAATATTTGATTGGTAGAAACTCCTGTGTCTGGTTTAGGTTTTTTTTTATTTTTTTTTATTTTGGCAGACTGGCAAATGTGTTTGCTGAAAGCAATTCTGACATTCACCCAAAATGCTTGTAAATCCTAACAAGAAAAGAAACTCAGGACAGACGATGTGAAAATCTCTGCAAATGTATATAAAAAAACACAACAACCCTCCGTTATTTTGAGGCTCTTGCTTATGTAAGAACCGTTTTCATTAATAACTTGGTACATTTATTTAGGTATATTCCTAGTAAAATTCTATTCATATGTAGGATTTCTAATACCTCTGCTCTACTGTGTGTTTCTGAGCTGCTTCGTCTTTATTCGTGAACTCTCATTCAAATCAGCAGATCAGATACTTAAATTGTATGTAAAATGTTAAATTGGGATTGTAGGTAAACATCAGTGAAATTTCTGTGCAGGCTGCTGCCTCCAGCAGAACGCTGTGGGTGTGTCTCAGTCCGCAGCAGAGTTACGCAGAGCCTCTTCTTTTCTGTTACGTATGAGAGGAGAGGAGAGCAGCTGCAGGGATTCTGGGAGCATACCATCTTCCTCAAACCATGGGGTGGAGCAGGATTTGTGCAGCATCCTTTTTCAAATGCACCATCTTCCGAATTATTCCTTCACCCGCATATGCATCTCCCTCGTCTTCCTGTGGCTGCTCCAGGTCAGAGCGATTAAAATCCTCCTTTGTGTCCAAAGGTCCAGAGCTCCATTGGTCCTTCGTTCCCTCCTCAGCTTCCCCCTCTCCTTCCCTACCCGGTAGTCCAACGTGGCCAGGTGAATGGAGGCAGGCATGACGACAGATGGCACGCACGCTCCCAGGGATTATATATTAACTCCCAGCAGCTCAGATTCTCTCACACACAGAACGCCTCGCACAGACTTGCACAGAACCCAGCAGAATCATCATGCAGCAAAGGCAGCCAGCGCATTGCAGCGCCGCCAGCGCACAGTAAAACAGGGGGGAAAAGCAGAGGATTTAACTCATGGACAAAGTGACAGAGGGGAGTTTTTCTGCAATCACCATGGAGGTGTGGAGCTCCTCAGCGTCCGAGGAGGAGGAGGATGACAAGAGCACGTCCAGCTACGTGGAGGAAATACTTGAAGAGGATAAAATCAGCCACAACAGCAATAATAGCAATAACAACAATAACAACAACGAGAGCCTTTGCAAGGAGGTAACGCAAGGTGAGATGCCGCAGTGGGCGACGTGACGGCGGCTTGCAGAGGAGACCGAGGAGAGATGTGCAGAGATCAGGTCACTGCAGGACAGGAGGCTCAGAACATGCAGGATTATAAAAAGCAGTTCAATATGTTGAAACGGCACTGGGGGGAAATTATGTACCTTGAGGTTCACAGTGAGCTGCAGCTTTCAGGTCTGTTATCTAAGGGCTTTAATGCTTAATGGTGCATGTATTTCAGCGTGCGCAGACGTCGCTGAGAGCGCATCATTCATAACGACATAAAAGCTCAAAGTAAGCAGGGAATATATGAGCACTAAAACTTATTGGTAGCTGTGAAAATAAATACAGCTTTAAAATGCTTACATGTAGTCTGTTGAAGGTCACTGAGATAAATACGCACGTGTGTGTGTGTGTGTGTGTGTGTACAGTTTGCTGCTGCACAGGGAAGTCCTAAGCTGTGTGTGTGTCAGCAGTTATCGTTGCTGTAAAGCTGTTTTCAACAAATGCTGTTTGTAAATTTGGCACTTCGTCTTTTGACTGCTGCAGCTTCAGAAATCCCAACGTAGTTCAGAATGAAGGAAAAACTAAAACCTGCTCGGTGTTTTAACAGTTGTGCTTCAGTAATTACAGTTTTGATAAACAAGGAGCGAAGGTTATTTTATAGAGCTTTCTTTTTAATACCAAAGTAGATTTTTGCTTTATTTAAATTTTATATCTAAATATATTTATCGAACTTCTTGTGTGATCTTGAGCAGTTGGTGTTGACCACCTCTCTGAGGTAGTTAATGCGCATGTTTTTGGTTTAAAATGGGCATTATTTAGGTGTAATATAGCCGAGTCTCCTCTGTGGTGTCCTTTGTCTGCATGGACATGTGGAGGGTAAAAATACTGCAACCTGCTGGCAGCTCTCCAGAAACAAGACGCGATGAACATCCGTCTGTCATGACGGCTGTTGGCTTTATTTGAACATTTCAGCAACAAGGCTTTTCAAAGGGATTTAAAAACATCATACAGTCACCAGTTATGAAACAAGCAGTAGACATTACATTTTGTCAAATGCCATCATCAGAATAAAACAAATAAACATTATAAATGCCCCATTAACTACTAACCAAAGGCAGCTCTAAACAAATGGGCGTTTAGCCTTGATATAGAGGGGTTTTTTTTAAGTTTATTCCAGATTAGAGGAGCGTAAATAATTTCATAATTTGTCCTGGTGCTCATATTCATATAAGAGAGGTTTTTATCATTTTTAATGTTTTATTGTTAGAGAAATGGATCGGTTTCGCCCCTGTGATCTTTTTTGCAACGACGCTCATCCTCACCTGTCTGATCCCCCTCAATATAACAGACGTCATAAGCACACCTAAGTCAACGAGGTTTATCTGCAGGGACAGTATTAGGGTAACAGTTCAAACCACCTGCTTGGATTTAGCTTCACCCACACTGTAAAACCTGTAGCTTTATCTCTGCTGCATGGCAGCCTGGTCAGCAGGTCAGAGGTCAAGGATTTCACCTGGTGGAACCTGAAGGGGTGTTTAGTCTGCATCACACCTAAACTAAACAAATGCGTACTCTTGAATTTTTGCTTGGAAAAATGCAACCCAGTGTGTAGTGATATACATGTGATGAATATCAACATTTATTTATCTGTTGGTGGCTTTGGCAGGTAATTTGAGTGGATTTCCTGTAACATAACGGGTCTTATTGTGGGTGTGTGTGAACAGATCTGTATGCCAGCCAAGTGTCCCACTGCATGCTGCCTTGTTAGCACAGGAAACGCTGGGATCCACTTTGAGAACAATAGGATTAGTGGAACAGTTATCTCATTAGGCTTTTCTTAATTTATAGACTCTGTCTCGATGCAGAGTTTGGAGCTCAGGAAGACTTGTGTGTTTGATCCTAATCCTGCATAATTTAGGATCTACCTTTATAATGCATTAGAGTTGTTTTTGTTGGTGCGTCCCTGAGAAGGACAAACATGTCTACCCTCTTTCTTTTTTAGCGGGATGAGATGGAGATACTTTAACCAGCAGGATTTTGAATATTTTTCATGAAATTCTCCATGTTTTATTTTTAGGGGTTTTCTTCTTGTGATATTTAAGTTTTTAGTGTATAAGTCAACCAGCAAGTGTGAACAGACTTTAGATGAATCAATCAGTGCCAGATAGATCAATCATTTTGGATATTCAGTGTCTTTGTACATCTTTTCCTTGCTGCTGCAGCATCAGAAGAAACCATCTTGTCCAGTCAGCAGAACAATTTTAAGGGTGTAAAGGAGGCTTACAGTCTGGTTCGTCCAACTGTCCTTCAACGTTTTGGTCACGTTGTAATGATTTCCTTTTCTACATACCCTATTGTTGCTGACTGAAAATGATAATCTAAAACTGACACTGAATCACCTTGGCTGTATTTTAATCATTGACGGTGCTCTTAGTGCAGTCGCAGCCGGGACGCTCTCCATTAGGCTGATTAAATATGGCTGCAGTATCAAATCACTGTTTCCAGGCCAAATCAAACCTCAATCTAATCACTCCGCCTTGCAGAAAGCCTGTTGGTTCATCCGAGCTTCGTGAATGAAGGAAAATGTTTCTGATTTAAGCAAAGGAGCCATCAGAGAGACGTTCAGCTCTGTTCTCTGCTAAACACAAAGTCAGAAACTTGATGTTTAAATGTTCCTCATGTTCTGTCTGCTTTCTGTTTTACTTCCGGCATCAGAGGATTGTTGTTGATGCCACTTAATGGTTTTGCTTTGGGTTTTTTTTTTTTTTCCAACAATGTGTCTTTTTCATTTTTTTACAAACCAGTTATAGCAAGATGTTTCACATGTCCAGCTGTTTTAATAAATAACATGTTTTTTTTTACATGCTTAGGTTCCACAGTCTGATTATAGTGGAAAAATATATTTTTGAGTATTTAAGAAACTACCATAAACAGAACAGCACCTGAGAAGAGTAAGTTTCCTATTCTCACTTAAAGTCCAGTTTCATATTTAAGTTGATGAAAATCTGGATGCTTTGTTTCCTGGTTTTTGACAAATGTTGTTCAGCTTGATGTCATGTTCAGATCTTATGTTTAAAGCAAACATTTAAACAAATCTGAGCTTGATTTCCATGCAATCTGCATAATAGCCGTGAAGTTTAATGGGGGAAGAGACTCATTTTTTTGTAGAGTCATCAGGAAAAACATCAAACAAACAAAAAGGAGAGCAATAATCAAACATCCAAACTATACGTTTAGCATTTTTATCATTTCTCAATGAAAAATAACTAAATCCTTTACTCAAAAACGTATACATCTGCCTCATAAGGCTTATTAAATTATTGTAATGAACTCATTTGCTCAATACTTTAGTTTTAAAGTTTTAAATGGTAATTTCCATCATTGTAAAAATGGATGTGACTTTAAAAATGTTCAGTGGGTTTAAATTTTTCTTGTTCACTAACCAGAAATATTAAAATCAAAGAAATACCTTACATTTTAAATTGAAAAATGAGCTGCACTTCCTTGAAATTGAGTGGGCTGCAGGACATTCGGCACCAATAAAATGTAATCAATATTTAAATTAACTGAATAGGGACCTGAATGGCTTTACTCCAAACTCTGTCCACGTCAGTGCTAAATCCCTACCAACTAATGGATTAATCCTTTTGTTCTTGTTCCGCTGTAATGCCTTTAAAGTTAATAAAGACAAACCATTGTTCAGGATGTAAACAGATTTTCACGTCAGCAGCCAGTTACCGTCTTTCCTTGCGTCTCCGGCTGAAATGGACACCATCAGGTTTCCCCTGCGGTCGGCTGAACGAAGCTATTCTGGTGTCCAGGGGCGCGGCGTCTCTACTGGCCTCTTAACTGGCCTCAGAGGGATCAGGCTAAGAGGATCAGTCGATGGTGGGCCTCATGGAGATGTTTTGGTGTGGCTCCTAAAACGGCAGTGGGCAGGACAAATTAAATGCTCTTTAGCTATAAAATGTTCATTCTGTTTATTTTTATTATTTCTATTTCCTCAGTCAGAAATGCATCATTCTCTGCCTCCGTTCGTTAAATTCCCCTCCTCTCCTTCATTCCTCAGTGCTGTGCTCAGACAGAGTGGGCCAGGTCACCAAGACGTATCATGACATCAAGGCGGTGACCCACCTGCTGGAGGAGGTAAGAGAGACACACAGCAGATGAACTGGATTAACAGAGGATTAAGCATCTGGTCCTTTCTGTCCAGCTCCGTTTTACACAATTTGTTGGCTCACATGTTCCAATCAACCTTGTACAAAATATACATGTTTGTGAATCCCTGTGCAGAAAGAGCGGGATCTGGAGTTAGCGGCTCGAATCGGTCAGTCCCTCCTGAAGCAGAACCAAGAGCTGACGTCTCGCAACGAGACGCTGGACGAACAGCTGGAAATCGCAAAGGAAGAGGTAGTTGGTCCCCATCGTGCACAGACAGAAAAGCTCCCGTCCTGCTGAGCTTCAGGGCTCAACAACACTTCTTTAAATTTCTTCAGATCGCTCAGCTTCGCCATGAGCTGACCATGCGAGACGACCTGCTGCAGTTCTACGCCAGCACAGAGGAGACGGAGAATGCTCAGGGCCTCTCACCGTGAGTACACACACATCACACACGCTGATGTCTGAAATACCTTAAAGGTGCCCATGAGCAGCCAAAATGTTTTCTTCTTTTTTTAATCCAAAAATAATTTTGGGGGGATTTTCATTTTAACAGATCAGCAATAATCCAAACATGCAATATTTTTTACTTAAAAGAATAAAGTATTTTGGCGTCATTCTTGAGTCCAGCAAAAACAGGCCAAAGACTTCAAAACAGCATCTTAGTCATTTTGTTGCTTCAGTTTTAATGAGATGCCAAAATGTTGCAGCGTTTTCTCTGGCTATTTAAAGCATTGGGTAGCAAAGCGTCGCTCCTCCCCGACTTGTTGCTGCCCATCAGCTGGCTCAAAGGAGGCTACTACACTTTTACCTCGTTTAGAAAAAGAACAAAGTTTTCTGTTAGGAAATATTTGTGGTTCAGGTGTGGAAACTGAGGGTTTACCACCGATCCGTCTTATTAAGGTGACACAGTTTAAAAACTACAGTTAATGAGGTGCGAGTGACATGTAGGTTAAGTAGTTGGCTCCAGGCTGGCTACCGGTGCAGATAGCAGGACTAATTAGCTCACAGCTGTGATTAGAGCCGTGCTACTTTGTAAACTAATAAGATTTGAAGTTCTGCACAAAAATTCCTCGATACATACAACGAATGTTTGTATTTTTGTGTTAAAATCGACATTGTCAATGTCATTAGTGCCACTATAAGGAGATGTCGTATATTTTAATGTCTTTATTTTGAAAACATACCGTCAGAATCTCAAGCTGGCTCAGACGTAGCTGCAGAACAAGAACAAAACATGCATCTAATATTTCATTTCTAGAACATTTTGAGATAGTTTTACTAGCTACACCTGTAGTTTAGTGCAAGTTTAGATTTATGCAGGTTTGTGCTCGAGTGTTTCATACAAGACATGACATAGAAAGTAGCACAACCCTCCTGCTTTATTAAAATTAATTGAATTGCTCCACGTATCAAGCTTGTTTGTGAGTAAACACACGTCAGAGCAGCTCTTCTGATCCTCTTAATGATTCCAGATTAGCTTTCTAGAAACTTCCTTCCCATCTCCAGTTAATCCAAGCTGGGTTTTTTTCTCTGAGAAATGCGTATGTGTAATAGCAAGTGATGTAGATTGATTATCAGAGTTACTAGAGGGGGTTTCATAATCTGAGCGAGTCAACTTCTAATATTATTTTGCTTTTTGGAGCCCAGAGGAGGCAGAAAATGAAGAACTATTGGCTGTAAGAACGTAAAGCTGATCCTTTACCATCAAACCAAACCAACATCTTTATTTTTCACACATCAGCATCTGTTTCTCACTTAAATGTCATCTTTCATGCTATGTAAAGCAACACATTCGTTTGTCACGGTGTAAAGTGACGTTCTCGAAGGTTAAAATATTTTTTATTTTTGTTTTCTGCAGAATTAAAAGAAATGAATCCAGCAGTTCTCTCAGCAACTTTGTCCATTATGACTTTCTGCATCAGAAACTGAAGAGTTTGGAGGAGGAGAACCGCAAACTGAGACTAGAGGTATGCACAATGAAATCCCAACTCAATATAAGATTAAAAAAAAAGAAGAAGAAGAAAATATAGGTTTTCTATTTTCCACCACTGGGTTGTTTTTAATGATGTGAGGATGTTGTTTGCTCAGGCCACTGAGCTCTCCACAGAAACGACCAACTACGAGGAGCAGGAGCAGGAGCTGATGATGGTGTGTGTGGAGGAGCTCTGTAAGTTTTTCTCCCTGATTCACTGATAAACGATGGAGCAATCATCCTCTCACTCTCCAGTTGTATTTACGAAGCTGGTGTGTTTCAGCGTCTGCAAATAAACAAGTGGTGGACCTGTCGGAGGAGCTGGCTAGAAAGCTGGAGGACACCGTCCGACAGCAGGAGGAGATCAGCTCTCTGCTCGCTCAGATCGTCGACCTGCAGGCCCGCTGCAAAGGGGTGAGGCGCAAAAACACAAACTCACAGTCCCACTTCTGTGAAATTATCGTTTCCTGGCAGCTCCAAAGCTTTCCTATTCTTTTATTTTCTTATTTTGGTTCCAGAAAGTGAAGTAAGCTAACTTTCTGTTCTGTGATGGCAAACGTTTTGAATCCTGCTTCTGTTTTTCAGCTCAGTCATGAGAACGAAGATCTGAACCACCAGCTGAGTTCCTCCAGAGAGAAGGAGGCAAAACTGAAGTCTGAGGTAACTGATCACAGCAGTGTTTTTCAAAGTGTTCAGCCCCCAGGGGGCGCTAGAGGACCCTCAGACAGCTGGAGGGAAGATAATAAATTTTTTAATGTGGTCTGTTTTTCAATCATTATTATAAAATATGGGCTAAAGTAATGTATTTAAAGTTATTTGCCATGCAGTCAAATTTATCACTCCGCTTTGCTCATAACATAAAATCAGAAGGTACAAGACAGAGTTTATGCTAAATGGATGTAATAATTATTGAATAGTGAATAAATGTGAGAAAACATTCAAACAGTTGATGTTTTCCATTTTTAGTACCATCTTCAGTTTGCAAAGGGGGTCTCTGTCCAGAATCTAATGCATGGAAAAGTTTGCATCATCTTCAGAGTTGGATTAAAATGAAATAAAATGCACATTTTAGCTTTTTTATTTCTCATTAGTTTTGCAGTTATTGCGATGTCTGTTTAGCAACTCCTCTTAGTTATTTAATGTGTGTCTTTATGTTTGTCTTTTGCAGCTCAAGGACTTGCAGGACAAGTACTCTGAGTGTGAGGACATGCTGCACGAGGCACAGAAGGACATAAAGAACCTGCGAAATAAGAGTCTGCCCAACAGCACGGTGCAGCGGTACACCGCGCTGGCCTCCGTCCTCCCCATGGACTCCCTGGCTGCAGAGATAGAGGGCACCTTCCGGAAAGGCCTGGACTCTCCCGCTTCGTCAGAGTACAAGTGAGTCTGTCATCAGAAACAGCAACCACTCTCACCGTCTGTCCAAGAATACAAAATCAGAGTCGGGTGAATATTGATAAAGATGATAGATCTGAATTTGATTATTTTTGATTGATTCATTTGGGTAATAAAATTTTCCCTTGATTCAGTTTTTTTTTTAAACATTTTGTTGGCCAAATAAAAATGCAAAAGTCACAAAATGACACTAATTATTTTGTAAAGTGTCTTTTAATGGCAAGGGATTTGCCATTTGACCTTGAAAGAGGAAAGTTCTGCAAAGAAATGAAGGGACTTACTGACGATTGTAGAGAGTGAGGAAGAAAAAGGCAATTTCTGATAGAAAAGCACAAGAAGTTGCATTTAGCAACAGTGGCGCCCCCAAGTGGGGGGATGAAGGGAAGCCCAGAGAATCATGTAAATGAAAGATCTTTCTTCGTGTTGAAATAATGATTGTATTATTTAGTTTTATTTCTAATTTTCCACAACATGGATTGTAGAATCCAGTGATAAGTACTTGTTGGCTGCAGGTTATGCGTGACGTTGTTGGTCTCCCCTGGCAGGAACCACCCATATCGCGTCTTCGAAACAGTGAAGGTGGCGAACAAAGCAGGGAAGATGCGGTCCCAGTGCCACTCACCAGGACTACCGGGCTCCAGCCCCGTGTCCAGTTGCACCAGCACCCCTCGGACCAGCTACTACGGCTCCGACAATGCCAGCTTCATCCTGGAGGACAAGCCCGGCTCCAGCTCCGCTCAGAGAGAGGACAGCAAGTGAGCTTCCAGAGCGGCAGGAAGTGGCTGAAACTCTCTTTGCTTTACTTTATGTTAAGTCGTCGTTGTTTTTCTCCGCCACAGTGTTGGTGGTCCGAAACGCCTGGGCCAGCCGGGCACACCCGGAGGTCAGGACCTGGAAACCGCTCTGCGCAACTTGTCGGCTCGCCAGCAGAGCCACGCCTCTGACCGGCCCTTTTTCGACGTGGAGAGGGAACGGAAACTCCGCGCCTTGGCAAACTGCGAGGAGGGCGACGGCTCCAGCGGCTTCCTGACGCCAAACGACAGCCTGGCCTCCAGCTCAGCTGCTTCGACCGGCACCAACTACTCCAACGGGAGCTCACGGCACTCCTGCGGCTCCTCAGGAGGGTCCAGGTCCTACCTGCCAGACCGCCTGCAGATCGTTAAACCTCTAGAAGGTAAAAAAAAACGTTGAACTTTCAAGACTCAGTTTGATTGGCGACTAAAGTTGCATCATTTGGTGCGGTTTGGTACTGTAAAAAGATCCAAATTTATTGAAAAACCTTTACCTCCTCCACACCTGTGGTGGCGCTGCACCAAGATCTACTCAACTAAATGACATGAAAATCTCAGATGAAGACATGAGCTCAGCTTCCTTCTTCACAAAATGTAAACAAAAGTGAAGTGGCATCACATTTTAGGATTTGTAGGATTTCTCTTTTGTTTTTGATAAAAGACCACAAGCCATTTTTCTCGCTACCACTGGACACGCATGTTTGTTTAGGTTGTATTTACCCAGAATGCCCTGCACTGTAGCTTGCTTCCTGCTTGTAGAGAAGTCTTCAATTCGGTTGGCATCCACATGTCCATTCAAACACACCAGAGTTCACTTTAAATGTGAGGGGAAGCAAATTAATAACATTTTAATCTTTAGAAAAAATAAAATAAACACTTTTAATGTCTACATTTAAAATATTTGGACTGAAAGATGTTTAAAATGATTCCTTTACCTTCTTAACCTCAATCAGGAACGTATGCTGAAAAAAGGAAGCAGACGTTATGTGTTATCATCTCACGGCCCGCATGTTTAAAATACTTAGAGACAGTTTTGTCTGAGAATGCAAACTATGCTACGGTGTTGAAAAGAAAAGTTGCCCAAGACTTTAGTTCATGCAGCACCTGCCACTGTTGCAAACGTGACGCGTAGCTTCCACTAATTTTGGATTTAATCCTAAGGTCGTCCAAAAGAAGAAAAAATCAATGAAAACACTCCATGTTTTTTGTCATCACAAGTTCTGTGAAAGTTTAATTGTGTTTTTAATGAATCTCAGTTCAGTATAGAAGCAATAAGAACAATTTTGCGATAATCACTTGAAGTCCTGAATTATCATTAAAACAGTGAAATCTCTCTTCTAAAATCAGTGCTGGTGGAAAATTACCAACTACGTCAACGTTCGCGCCTGTAGTTGCTACAGTTACTGCTAACAGTTAGCCAGTCACCGGATTCTCTGTGTTTACAAAACATTCTTAAGTTTTCTGTCAAACTTTCAACATTTCTGTTTGGCTAAACAAAACACTGCCAGATAAATGACTGCATTGCTTCAGAATAAGAGCCTCAAATATAAACATATCACCTTATTATTAGAGCCTGTGATAGCCGCTTGCTCATGCTAAACCAGAAAAAGTCTCATGCTAACAGCAACCAGCTTGTGAAGAACTATTGTGGTGCTTTATTACTACAAAACCACCCAAAAAGTGACAAATCCAGGAAACAAAACCACAGCAAAATGTTTCAGTCAAGCGAGGATCTGTTCAGTAATCCGTGTTTTTGTTTAAGACGGTCCAGAGACAGTCCTCTGTCTGTCTCCCCATCAGGCTCAGTGACTCTGCACCACTGGCAGCAGCTGGCCAAGCCAAACCTGGGGGGCATCCTCCACCCTCGTCCTGGAGTCCTGACCAAGGACTTCAAGGAGCTGGAGGTGGACGTGCAGCACGTCTACAGCCTGACCGACCTGGAGGAGGACGAGCCTGACCCCTCGCAGTTTTCTGCAGCTCATGGTTTCGGTAAGACGTATGATTATTTAAAATATCTCCATATTTCTCAATCTTCTTGAGCTTATTAAAAGCCTAAAAGATGTGTGGGTTTCCCTTCCATGTGGGGTTTAATATTTGTGTCTCCTCCCTCAATCGGACAGCGTCCTCATCGGGTCCCACCCTCCCTAAGACCTTCCCCACACATCCCAAAACCACCTGCAAAGTCCTCCAGCCCCCCCCTCTCGTCCCCTCCTTCTCCAATCGGTAAGAGCTCTGCAGGTTATGCTGCTGCCGCCGCCTGTTGATTTCCACACCTCTGACTGAATTCACTTTCACATTCGATAAAGTTCAACGATTTCAAGCCAGCTGATCAAATTTTTCTCTTTCTTTATATCAAATCAAAATCTCCAGATTTTCCTGTCTTGTTTCCTTTCCCCCTCCTGACGTTGTCCTTCTTGCCCCTCCCCTGGTAGAAAACGTCTGTCGAGGGTCATTCTGAAACTTTAGAAGCAGCCTGCAGGGAAATGTAAGAGCCCAGCGGACGCCTGCATATTAACCGACTCATGTCCTAAATGTTTGCTGGCATCCTAACTACTAACCACGGAGGCAGAGTCGCCTAAACTGCAGCTTAATGTGAATTTGCAGCTGCAGAAAAACTAACGGCTGCATTTCAGTATAAATTGTTCATATACGTTTGTTTGACAGACGCCCACGTCTCAAATGCAAAGAAAAACCAATGAGGCAAAGATGGTTTCTTTCTTGTAAGCTTTGCTTTTGCAATTAATCAGTTTTAATTGCAAAAATTAAAATGTGCTCAATAAATTTGAATGTATATTATTTACTTTTTTAGGGGAAATTTAGCTTGTAGACTTCATTATTCATTTTATTCACAGTTTCTGTTGTGTGTCGTTTTTATTTCCCTTTTATTCATTGTTTTTGTTTGTTGCCTTTTTATTTTGGAAAATATCTTCCAGTTCCATTGGTTCATTATAAAAATTAAAGTTTAAAAGCATTTGAGAGGGGTACTTTTTTATCTAATTAAGCTGTCATTAATATATTACCTGACGATGATCTCAAAACAACAATATTATTGCTCATCACAATAATTTCTGGGACAATTTATTGTGCAGCGAAATGTGTTACTGTGACAGGCCTAGTAGTGTGAAGGACTGAAGATTAAATCCATAACTTGAAGTAATTGTTTAAAACCCCTGACCAGATGTTTACTCCATTACGTATTTACAATTAATGTGCACAGAGTTGGTGGATAAATCTGTGAGTTATTAATCAGCCTGTTCTCAGATTTCTCTCTTCACTAAGTAACATAAAAACAATAGATCACATTTTATCCATAAAAACAACAATGTTTAGATGTAGTTCAGCGTTTTGCCTCTGCCTCTGTGTTGAACACACTGGGTTGTTTTTTTTATTTACTGCTGATGTTAAAGCCTCTCTAAGCTGACTGAAGTCTCGGCTGTCATTCTGCATTAATCGGCCGTTTCTTTCTTTACGTTTATGTTAAACAAACAGATGCTGCCTTATTACGCTTAACAAACTAACACGCTTCTCCATCTTTTAGAGATGAATCACCAAATTAACCAAAACTTGTTTTTTCACCAGTTTTTCACTGCTGGACAAACGTTTGTTTTTCAACTCTTGTTTTCCTTTGAAGGAGCCAGACTTTGATTTTAGCCCTCAAATTTATTTCTTCTTTTTATCTGGACTGTAATTATTTTTTATGTTGATTAATTTATATGTTTGTTATTGTTATATTGCTATTTTTCATAATATGCAACATATCTTTGATAGAATCATATCAATATTCTTACAAATATTTTTTAAGATTTATTTAGTTTTTATCTTGCACATTGTTTTTAACGGAAACAATGTTTTCTAATATAAAATAGAATATGAAATAACTGATTTTTCTGTTATATGTTTATTATCAGTAATTGTTACTGAATTTATTATTTATGTTTTGGATTTGAATACAAATATATTTCCAATAAATCCTTGGTTTTTGTTACTTCAAATGTATATTTTTCATATTTAAAATTTTTATTTTATTCCAAGTATATTATATATTTGTTTGAAATGAAATTACATTTTTTTTCTATCTCAATTTAATAATTTACTGTTAATATGTAGGACGATCAGTTTTAATTATATCTTTCAGCGCATTAATACGAGCAACCACGAAAACAAAACACATTTAGTTGTAATTTCTTTCATGTATTATAATCTATAGACAATTATAATTGTCTATAGATTAAAATTTAAGAAAGTTAAAAGTCTGGCTCCTTGGAAGTAAGATATCGAGAATGTGAACAAAACTTTTGCACGCTGCTGCTTGAGAATGGATACATGCATGAACACAAAACTTTTATTTAATGTTGTGTTCATGATTTTTTTTTTTTTTATGTTTTGGTTTGCAGCCTTCGCTCTTTCAGCCTGCCATCTCATCGGGACGGTGAGCACGTGAGCGCCTCGTCTTCCTCCGTCCTCCAGCACTTTCACCAGAGCAGCCTCGCCTCCGCCGCCGGCGCCACCGCATCCCTGGGACTGCTGCAGCTGCTGCAGCAGCACGGCATCTCCGCCTCCACCGACCCCTACAGCAACCTGCACTACGCCCCCACCGCGCCGCCGCAGCCGCCTCCTCGGACCTCCACCGGGAAACAGACGGAAGGACGCAGCTCATCCTCGGACCAAAGTCGCGGGTCGAGCCTCTTCAGCCTGAACCTGGTGGAGAAGCTCCAGAGCCTCGGGCTGCACCGTGTGGCGGCCTGGGGAATGATGGGCCGGCGTGGGACCGACGGACACAATCGCCCCACAAAACTGTGACACGCTCACCCCGACTTCACCACCGTGACTTCACATTAAGCCATGAGATTCCCCCACCGTGCAATTCACAGCCCACCGCAGCACCCCGTGTCTTGAAAAACAGAACGCCACCGAATGTGTCGGAGCCGCGCTTGAGATGGTATCCGTGTAGAGCGATGAACTCGGCCAGTGTTCACGTCAGGAGCCGATTACATCACACACACACAAAACGGCAAAAAGAATCTTTTTATATTGTGTTTGTGAACGTCATTTTACTGTTGTCTCCATCGCTGGTTTTAAATAATGTAATCATTTGTTGGTTTTTTTTGTTGTTTTTTTTTAGTTTCCAAAGTGTAAATAATAGTATTCTCGTTTGTTATTTAAGGAAAAAGAAAATACTACATGCAGTATAAAAACTGACGTTGTGGCACTGAAGAACATTCAGATGCACCAAAGCACTGGTTTTCCTGTACCTTAGAGCTGCTACACTGAGAGAAACTGATACAGGAGCGCTGCGATGGCGTCCTCTACATATCTTCTCATCTCCGATTTGTTTTGCGTGTCGATCTGAGCCACGCCCGAGAGAAGGGGTTGGACTTCCAGCGCACAGAGAAACGGATTGTGTCGATTCTGCTGTATTTCACACCGTCAGGAGTCTGTTAAACCGCTGGGATTTCTGTCTGATCAGGATCATCTTTCTGGGCATTAAGAATGATTTTTCAGTCTTTTAATGTTTGAACATTCAGAACAATCAAATGTAGCAAAAAAGAAAGAAAAAGAAACGGCATAGGATACTGTGGATTTAAAAGGGAAGAAATCATAAACGCAACGTTGTGATTAGTTTTTGACTTAAATATGCCAAAATTCCTGTTTCTCTGCACTGCTTTCCGCTGTAGTCTGCCATCTCTGTGTCAGTGTGTGTTTTACCACCTGAGAATTAAAGAAACAAACGTACATTTTCATCCAAGGTCTTTCAGCGAAGATGGAATCAGTCCAGACCGCAGAGATCGTTCTGCAAAGATCTTTATTTATACATTTTCAAGCCTGAACTTTTTCTGTACATCGTGAACAAAAACCAGGACTGAGTCGCCGTCCCCCCCTTCACTCCTCTGCGTCCCTGCGTCCGAAGTCCACCCAGCCCTGGTAGTCGCGGCCCAGCATGCAGTCAGAGTTCATCACCTCTGTGAACAAACCATTCCTACGTTGAACCACACACACAAACAACACCTCAGTGCACAGATCTGATCGCTTTCCGCACATTCGCCCGTCTGATCAGATAATCAGGCGGGAACATTCTCGGCCGCCGCCCTGGGCGTACCTGCGATGGCTTGCATGACCTGCTTGGTCATTATCTCCCGCTCGTCTTCGGACAGGTGCGCCCGTCTCTCCGCCCGGGTCGCCGACGCCTCCCTCGCTTCCTCCCTCTTGGCCAGGAGCCGCTGCAGGACGTCCGCTCCCTTCGCCTGCCCGGCCGCGGCGCTCTGAGGCGAGGCCGCAGAGTCGGAGGTGATCAACGCCACCAACAGCGCAAAGACCAAAATAACTTTTCTGGACATTTCTGCAACAAGAAGATGGGGGGGGGTGTAAAAAAAGAGAAAAATCTGTTAGAAATGCATGCGAGATATTCCTCGTGCACAGCAAAAATAAAAAGTACCTGTGAGGATGGGATGAGATGTTCACCTTGAAGAAAGATGATGCCTCGTCTGCAGACCGGAGAGCCGGTCGGCTCTTTTATACCGCCTAAAATCAAAGACCGATAAGAACCTTCAGTGGGGGGCATTTGATGGATTGGGAGACAGATGCTCGGGAAGGAAGTGCGTAAAGGAAACAACGCGCCTAAAAACCCATAATTATGCTTTTCGTACTGCAATAACAATAAAACAAGTCGATGAGTTTAAAGAAGAAATTCAATAATGTTTTAGAGCTGCTTGTATCCAATGCAAATATGATGGTTCAGCCTCAAGGGAGCTGCAGAAGCCCTGCAGGTCATAAACACAGAAATGTCAACCAAAGCAATAAAACATTAAAAACCGAAAGCTTAAAGAAAACCCCCAAAAAGCTGTCAACATTTAAAATTTTAATTTTTGTAGAGGAAGACCCTGATAAAAACAGAAACACATTTATTATTTTGGTTTTTATAATCGCAGTATAAATGCACCAAAGATAAATCATCAGATTTCCAGCTGAATTGTGCAAAAAGCTGCTCAGCAGCTGTAAGAAGAGTATGATTACTGTGACGATAACAAATGTATATTTTAAGATCTTTAAAATCAAGTTCTGTTAAAATGTTGATCATTTGAGTAGAGTGGATGTTTTTTTTGTTTGTTTTTTTTTTAAACTTTCCTTTCCTTTTACTTGCGTTGGTGTCCTTTATCTCGTTACCGATCAGAGACAAACGTCTTGATTGGGAGAAAGTTTCTGTAAATCTGATTCCACTATGAATCTTTCTGGGCTTCAGTCCTTTTCCAGTTTGGGTTGTTTCCACCCGAGTCTTTGTGGTGCTATTAAAAAAACAAACCTTCAGATGGGCGTTTCTTACCGGCCATGTTCTTTGGAATAGTCTGTCTAAATTGGCAATTTAAAGTGACTCTTATAGTCGACTCTCTTATAGTTATGTAACTCTAATATTTACCTTTGGGAAGAAAGTGATTTTGGTTTCATCAGAGCTCCTGGTTCATGAGGATCAACTGGTCCAAACAGGGATCGGAAATGGAGATATTGCAATGCAAAACGTATGGAAGACATTATTTGTGGGATTTTGAGCTTTTTCTAGGAGTAGACAAAATAACTGATCAAAACGGTAATGACTAATGGTAATGACCCGGAGACCGTCCCACTTTGTGATTTTGAACTTCTGTGACATTGAGGCAAAAACTCCATGTGTGGAAAATGACCAGCAGGCCTCTGCTGCTCCCTCTAAATATTCACAGTTCAAGTTTAAAAACTCAGATGTGTTTTTCCTTCCTCTCTGCGGGGAAAGTTTTTTTTTCGTTATCTTCACCCAGGAGGACGGAGGCGAGCCTCAGCAGGAAGTGAGCTGCGGCCGGACTTCCTGGGTGACGAATTGCTATCCTTTTAGTGACTCCACCTCGGAGATTAGAAGGCGTTGATGATGTTTGCGCTCGGTATAGATTTTCTTTCTTGAGTGGCTCGCTTCCTCCACGGGTCAATGTGATTTAGTTCACAGTAAAGCAGCAGAAACTCGGGAGCTTCAGACGTGAACGGTCTCCGGCCTGCTACCTGCCTCACCTGGTGAAGCTGCACAACTGCTCCGTGCGTTTGCCCCCCCTCTGCAAGTCAGATTCCTTTAGTTCATTTGCCTGTAGAAACTACACCAAGACCAAACAAAACTTTCCATTTTTAAATTGCAGAAATAATCGCTGCATCTATTCGTGCAGCATCAATCTAATCTGATCACAGACAGAGTCTGCTTTCTCGCTGGACCACATTTCCCAGATCAGACTCGCACATACAGAAAATGCTCACACGCCCTCTTTTTATCAGTAAAAGACAGCAAAAAAAGTTTTCTCTGTTGCTTTTAGATTGTTTGCACGGATAAAATATCCGGACGGTCGTCTCAGAAATGTGTCAGCCAGGCGCATGTCTGGCCAGAAGCGGATCTGTGACCTCGACGTGGCAAACTGTACGGACGAGCAGGTGCTGCATCGCGCTCACGTCCACCTGCTCACTTTTCACTTCCCGCCAGGAGCAAAACCCAAAGAAACCTAAGAAAAAAAACCATCTGACTGGCTTTATTTTGGTGCAAGCTGGACTTACTGCAGGGATGAATGAAACATTACATTTTGTTTTTGTCTTGATTGCTGAGAGGATTACATGAAAAGGTGTCAAACAAATAACTTCTCTTGTTCCCCCCCCCCCCATTTAATTTCATTATATTTGTCAATAAATTAATATTTTTATTTCTATTTTAGATACAATCCCACTAAAAGCAGCCGGTTCTGGACCTGGATGCTTTTTGCCCACTTGTCAGCCTAGCAGCTCGTCCTTCAGTTTGCTCCTGGCGGTCTGCATTTCTCCCCAAAGGAGAGCTGCTTCAGGGTCACACCTGAAGAGTTTTCATCCTGAGAAAGAGTCCAGCTCTAGTAAAAGTGTCCAGCTCTAGTAAAAGTGTCCATCTGTCCCCTCAGGTCCAAACATTCAGCCGTTCACTCAGATGATCTGAGATCTCAGGTAAAAGACAGCAAGAGTTTGGGTTAATAGCACTAATATAAAACTTTATGCACTTTGTCATATAGCAACTATAGATTATATGATGGACCAACACAAGGTTGTTTATAACGATGAGTCAAAATCTGATTAGTGTGGTGCGCATTTGTATTCAGTAATAATTTGTAGCACCGTCTATTGCTGCAATTAAAGATGCAGCTCTTTGGGATTGGATCGCTCTACATCAGATTTAGAGACTGAAACATTTTTATCTCTCATTAGCTGCCATGTCTCAAGATTTCATTTTAATGTCTGTTAAATACTCAACTCTTCCCTGGCTGTTGACAGACTGAGTATGAGATGCTTTATATTTAGAAGTCCTCACTTTTTTAAAAATTGTTTTTATTTATTTATTTTCCCACCGTTTTAATCTAGTTGCTGCTGCTGGTGTAACTATGAAGCCATTCGGTCAACCTTGGTGAACATTGATCATGTCCAAAGCTCAGGATCTTGTTTTATATCCTGACTAAACTTTTCTACAGCTTTCTCCCTGACCTGTTTGCTGCGTTTCTTGATCTTCATGATGCTGTTCGCTCTCCCATGTTCACTAACAAACATCCGAGTTCTCCACGCAACATTTGCATTTATACTGAGATGAAATCGCACACACGAGGATTCCACTGAGGTGAGCTGGTTGCGCTGGATTTTATTTAATAGTCATGTCAAAGTGAAGGAGTTTCAGCGCAATTCATCCTTCCACTTTCACAGTCTTTCACATAAAATTGCACTTAAATGCCCTGGAGTTTGTTCCTCCATTCAGAAGTAAATGGTACTGATATGCTGAGAAAAATGATCCACGACGACGGCACTGGGTGTTTTGCTTAAAACGCCCTGAATATCAGCTTTCCTCATCTGATATTATCTCCTGCTACATTTCAGGAATAGCAGCATCTAAACCACCCAGAGCCCTTCATGTATGTCCCATGCGCCAGCATATAGCTGGTTATCAGTTTTGAGCCGCAGAACGAGATGATTTAACCTGTTTGACACAAACGCGCCCTCCCCACCCCTCACGCCCATTTACTTGTAAATCTCTATTATGCTATGTGCATACCTCAGGTTGTCATGCTGTGGGCCCTGACGCTATTTCGTCTCTATAAAGGCCCCAGCTGTCCACAGCAGAGTCAGTCCAGTCCTTCCTGCAGGCCTGCACCTCCTCCAGCTCCTCCAGAGCCTCCTCCACCTCCTCCAGCTCAGCAGCATAATGTCTGTGCCTTTCAACCAGCAGGGCTTCAGCTCCAGCTCCCTGGGAGGCTGGATGCTGGAGTCCTCCCGCATTGGCCCCCAGAGATACTCGCACAGCGTGTATGGAGGAGCCGGCTGCTTCGGGACGCGCATCTCCCAGGGGTTATACTTCAGCTCCTCGTGCTCTGCAGGCGGCGACTGGCCTGCGCCTAACGGAGGCAAGTTCACCATGCAGAACCTCAACGACCGTCTGGCCTGCTACCTGGAGAAGGTGAGACCCACTCGCTCCAAAGCTTGGGATGCAACATTTAACAGCGCAGCTGAAGCTCATTCATACATTTGAGGTGGTTCTTTAAATCACAGGGTCTGAGAAATTTCCTTTATTTCAGCTTCAAGTTTGAAACATGGCATCCTGCAGTTTCTGTTGGTGTTGGATCATATGTTCATGCTTTCCTCCAGCAGAAGCTCTCATCAGTAATGTAATTAGAAAATTGCATAGACTTTTAAATTTGGATTTAAAACATAAAGGTTTCATTGATCTATGTGTTTTTTCATTATTTTGTTAATCTAAAAAAGAGGGTTTCAATTGTAGCTCTCAATGTAATTGAAAATGCAAAAATACATTTAAAAAACTCCTATCGTTGTCCAAAACATTTTAGAATATGCAAAAAAAACAAAAAACGATTTATTTATTTTTCTTTGCCAAATTTAATGCAACAAAACTTTTATCACTTCCATTAGTTGTCCTGTGATTTTAGTGATGTTTTCTCTTTTGCAGTCAAAAAGAATCGCCGCCTCCTGCTCTTATGAAGGTCACAGGAAAACATTTCTGCTTATCCAATTTTTACCAACAAAAAGAGAGTATTTCATAGAAAAAAGTCTACTTTTTTTTGTTGCCATGTTCTGATGAGCACAGCCTGCACAGACACAAGCTGTTAAACAGCATAAATCGACTTTCAAAGGGAAAAATCAAAATCTTAATGATTAAAGAAAACCTCGAAAATCATCATTTTATGTTGACATTTCCGAAGAAAATTGCTTTTTTTTTTTTTTTTGTAAGATTTGAAAGTTGCTCTTTTGCCTAATCATGACTTTCATCACAAACAGAAATCAGAGAAGATCTTCACTGAGGAACAGACCAAATTGTGTTAAATACTGTCATTGATTTCGTACTGAACAGACTAATTAAATGATGGGACTCTGTGTTTCTTGATGAACTGACTGACCCGGTTCGTGTGCGTGTGTGTGTGTGTGTGTGTGTGTTATAGGTGCGCTCTCTGGAGAACAAGAACAGGGAGCTGAAGCTTAACATTGACGAGTTTCTTGTGAAGACCACATACATCACCAAAAACTATGCGAACTACTTTTCCATCATCAGTGACCTGAAAAAAAAGGTACCGCTCACACTTCATCCTCCTCTTCATCCTCTTCAAGTATGAAGAGGATGAAGCATCATGTAGAAGAATCACAGCACATAATGTTAACCAATCTTTCTCAAACCGTGGTAAACAGACCAGTGGTGGTCCGCGGGCTCCCCCTAGTGGTCCGCGAGGTACTGCATGTAAATGACTGTTTATTTGTCGTGACGTCAGCTCACAGTGGGACTCTACGGCTAGCTTACCAAAGGATTGCGTTAAAAATAATGATG